ATCGAAACAAACTATTAAAAGGTACCACGTGCACACATGTGAAGCGTGTTATCAACCATTGTGTATGATTATTAAATACGCATAGAACATTAATTACCCTTCTGCTAGAAAATCGCTTTATTTTGTATATTCCATTCATATTCAGTATTTGACGTAGTCTGAGCCGAACAGTATCACGTTAATAATGCCTTACGTGTAGTTCCTTCACTTAAAGATAATGAACTTGTAAGTATTCGTTACATTTTCTGTCATTTTACGACATGCATAGGGTGATATACCGTGCATCCATCATCCCCTAAATACTTCTCTTCTGCTTGTTTTCCTTTCTCGTACAATTGTATATTATTGATTATTCAAATCAAATTTTATTCTTACATTGACCGTATGACTTATCACGTGGCTGCTCATACTTATCCTTTCGTTCATGTGAACCTACAAATACTCCGAATTTAACACTGGGCGGTGTTTATCGGTCAAATCAAAAGTAAAATAATCACGATAGATAACTCATATGTTTATTTGCACCGTACTTATATCTACCGATTAGTATTTCCTCTCATTCTGTAACCATCTGCAGTTATTACTGCAATCAACTAGGAATATGTCTAAGATCGGTCATTCAATTGTATCTCGCAATCAAACTGTTTTTCCGAAAGTAATGGCATCATATTTTGATTCCATAAAATGATTCATCCATGATTTACTACGATTCGTGCACGATGAACGAAAACTATGATGAGATAACATCGTTTACTGCCTATCACAGGAATGCAGTGGATGAAACAAATCTAAAGCGATAAATTATGGCGCATCTTGTGATGAACTACCATGAATGAACCTGCTATGTGCTGATAATACGTTTGCAACCCAATACTTTATTCATACATATCTTTCCCACGTGGTTTTGTTTTTTCATTTCATAGAAATCTGTTCATCGGTTAATGCATAACCATGTATTACAACTTCAACTAATAAATCACCATAGACATTACACAAAGGAATAAATATGGCCCTAAACAGCTTTTCTAACCTTGGTGCATAGAAGTGTTTTTGGTAATATCAGCTTTTTAATGCATATTTAAGTTAAATAACGTTTTATTGGGTAAAATGTACACGTGTCTGCTTTTTTAGCTAAAATTTAGATTCTTTAGACGAAGTATTTGTTGATACCAGCAAAAAATGTGCAAACTTGAGTTTTTATTTTGGCATAAACTCGATACACGGCTCCCTTAAACGAGTTAATGTTTTTGAACCTGATGCCACCACATCATATTATTCTTGTTGTAACTATACCATGACTTTGTATAGAATTGTCCTTACACTCAACGAGCATCATCAGACTTCCTCATTTGTTCTCGGATCCTGATTCCAGGTTGAACACGAATATTTCCAAAAATACGTTTTATTTAGCATATTTGTCGTGGTGCATCATCAGTGCTCGATAATTGGTAAATTACCATAAAGGATATTATCTTCTAATATTGCACCGTCTGGAATGTTAATTACGCTTTCATCGTCGGCAATTATGATAACCGTGCCTCTGAGAGTGACATTCCTGCCAAACGTGATGTTGCCACTGACCGTTAAATGGTCCAACTCTAAAATATCGGGCACCCCCTTGAACATCTTGTCGAACGACTCTACGCTTTTATACATTTTGCCCAGCAACTTCACCAGCGGAAGGCTCCCGAACATCCTCCTAGGCGATAGCGCTAGAAATCCATCATGTTCAACAAACAGGTTACTTCGGATTAAAAACAAATCTGAACACGTTTTTACAGGCAAAAACCGACTTCTTGGCACGATCATACCTACAGCCTTCGGAAAGTATTTTATCGCTGCTCCCATCGCTGTCTCTAACTGAATGACCGTTTCATCTATGCCCTCCACGTTCTTTTTGTTTTCAATAATATCCAATATCAAGCGTTTCTCCTTCAGAAGCACTTTGAGTTTCTTCAGATTTATCCAAACGCTATTCGTGTTAAATATTTTAAACTTTCTCACACTAGTGAACTCGTTTTTTTTATCAGCTGGAACCTGGGCTATCTCAAGTAAAGTCAACTTATCATCCAACTCGATCAGTGTTCCCCCCTTAATGTCGGCTCGTGTTTTTTCAGTGACTTCCATAAGGAAATCAACATCATTCTCTACAACGTAGTTCAGGATATTAAAGTCTACGGTTGCTGCCAAATTATCAATATTCGATACAAATAAATACTCCTTGCCCTCTTGTAACAACTTATCGAGCATACCGCTGTCTTTCAGGCTTATGAAAACATCTCCGTGTCCTGGTGGATACATGCTCTTAGCTCCCAGCAATGGGTCTATGGGAAGCAATGAATTTGCACTTATCCTAGGAAAAACGCTCTGTGTGAATGTTCTTATGCCCTTATATCGCCTAAGCATCCTGTTTGTCTTTTTTTCGGTGTTAAAGGAATTCATCAGGATAAAGGGAACCTCCATGTCGTAGGTACGTTGCAGCGTGTCTACCTGTTTGACACACAAATCAAGGAAGTTGCTTGTGTCCTTAATTTCGATGGCGCTTTTAGGGCCTACGCATCCCATGGTGGTTCCCAGACCGCCATTAAGCTTGAGAACAGCTAATTTTTTGAGTAATGATCTTCTATCCTCTTTTTTCGAGCTTGAACTGATCCCCTTCTTTGCATATTGATCTTCTTTATGCATCTTATGACCGCCTGACTCCACATCTCCGGGATATTTTACAATTTTCTCCGATGGTGGCGATTTAATCTTCTCCCAATCAATTTTTTTATTCCTTGTATGAAGATACCTCTCGTATAAGAGAAAGAAGTTATCCAAATTCTCACTTGTCATCGCATCATTTTTGCTTTTAATATTTTCTAGCTCGTCGTCCATGTAAGAAAGGAGCGAGTCAGTTTTGAGTTCAGAAGTGCTTGATGATATGAGATTTATACGTTTGCCCATCCTCAATCACGGGCAATTTGCGTTCTTATATGCTTATAAAGGGGAAGGATCCGATTGCAATTAAAGGGGTACTCCTCGATTATACGTTGCTTGTCAATAACAAAGCATCATTTGTCACATTTTATGATGTGAATTTCTATTTGTCACGGGCGATAATCTTTTCTGCATACCATCATCAGCTATTTAACGGCCCCTGTGATGCTCGGAACGATGTGGACCCGTTTAGTATTTTTTAGCATGAGCAAGACTACATGGTGTAAAATACATGTGAATTTATCATGGTGAACCTTAAATTCTCAATTGTTCGAATACTGTGACGATATTTTGAAGTTTTTTCGATTTTGGCAACTAAGATTATCTCGTACCAATAGCAAAACAGTTATTGACTGTTTGCAACGGGATGTGCAGCATTTACTCCATCATAAATCATTTAAATGATCTTCAAATTAATTGATCTGCGCATGATCAAGTATTAACCTATTCGTTCTTTCTCGCACTTTGTATGAATTGGCAGCTCGTGTGATAATCAACTATCGCGATTGCGATTGATCCGTGTATCATTCACGAAATGTAGTTGTTCTTATGATTTAAATCCTTTCTACGAACAGGTACCCCTTGATAAAAGTCAAAACTATGGTTTCTCCTTTAAAATGAGATGTCCATCAAAAAAGTACGGTTCAAACGTATCGTTGTTACTTTGATTGAATGAATAACACGAACAAATGATATCCATGGAAAAGGCACTTTATATTCTATGTATTGTTTATCACTGTAATATCATTCGTTAAATTTTCTAACCTTTTTTGCAGGTTTACTACATCTTAATTACCATAATAGTTTATCTTATTGAGCTTTTTCACCGGCTTTATAGCTTTTTACCGTCTGTAATACACCCAGATCACATTTATCAAGTAAAAATGCTTCGTGCGTAAATGTTCATTGTGTCCAAAATCATAGTAACCAGTCTATAAAAAGCATGTTGACTGTTCAACCACTTGCCGTTGTTTTGTCTACAAAGCGCTACTTGTTCGTATTTTAGTTCAAAATACTCATAAACACTACTTTTCATGTTACGCCGTATATAAGGTACTAACATTCTGATCTTTACTCTTTTTAAAATTACCACTTTCGATTACTTATTTCTGATTGTTATTCGTTTTGGCATAAATATTTCCTGTCATGTTGTACGTGAAAACACAGCGATTGCAACCTGTTTTGTTCTCTTTATCGACCATTCCGCTCTTTGATTTGCGGGTTAAGCTGAGCCTAAAGGCATAATCAAAGACTTATCCATATTGTCGAAGACCTCTTACAAAATGAGTCAGCGATTGTTTGCAATGACACACTACATAACCTTTCCCGTGTCAAATACGTGTGCACACCTTTAGTAAAGCAATCATGCACGGAGTCATAGTAAGCTGTTGGCCCATTTTTTAGTCAAACGATTATTTACGTGTGCAGTGTTTATGGATCATTAATTTTTGTTTCGGTCTAGAGCTGCAACAACATATGAACACCACAAATATTATCTCAGCGGTTGATTATTATGGTAATAAATCGGCAAATCCCAGCCATACTCATTCATGCTCTATATGATGCGAATTAATTCATTTGCTGCATTAGGAACTGAGTGCTTCGTGAAACAAACATCGTGGTTGCGCTAAAAACTTATGTTTTTAACGTATGTATGCCCTGAATAGTGTTTTAACCGCTGTTCTTAGCCTGTACCATCATTTGAGTCCTAATAAAATATTAAACATGGGCTGATTAACGGTAGAATTATCAATCAATATTTTACAATAGAAAGGGTCAAACCTGAAATCACTGATACCAACGATTTTAACA